CATTGTACACTTTGGCCTTCCTAGATGCCTTTTGCAACAGAATGTGCTACGGAAAATTTCTGTGGAAATCTCTTTCTTCTGAATAATATAAAGTGAATAACTGAATAAACCTTTTATTTCTCCTCTCTCTTTTTTTTCTATTTGTGATCACTATGCCCGACCGTTTGTATATATATATAAAGAGAAAATAGACACCCAAAATTTTTTGAGCGGTTCTTTTTCACTTGCGCGCCACAGCTGATGTCTTTTTCTCCCTGGCCCATAGAATTTTTCGCTTTCCCTTTTAACAGCTGAGCTGCCAATTCCGTGCGTCAGGCGGAATAAAATCAGCATGGCAATGGCAATTTGCTTTCCCAAGCATGAAAAGTCAGGCATGTACGTCAACAACTTCAAGAGGTAACGTACCTGATCGAACTACATCACGTATACTTTTTATGTCTTTTTTGACATCTGGAATACCTTTCGTCTGCTTTATTTTTCCCTTTCTCCTCGCATCTGCTGATGTCTTTCTTTTGTGAGCATTATAGTGGCCCTTACATCCTAATCCCATCCTGTATTCCTGTTAATTGGATGGCAGCAGCTCTCCTACCCTCATTCCCAGGTCCCAGCCGCATCTACAACCCCTCCCATAGGCCATATGCGTCTAAATTACTGCTAACCTCGTGCCCATGATCAGTGACAGTGCTGTCTAGAGTTTAATTTTCTGCCGTTTTCATCGCCAAACATGAAGCATCCAGTGATGTTCCATCTATGGTTACAGGTCGTAATATGCATTTCACACTACGACAGGGACCGTTTTTATTGTAGATTTCATGCATTTAAGTAGCTCTCGACTCTTTTCTTCTCCTGTCCCTTCTCGGTTTGGTTGTGACTACTCCAACACTGTCCTGCCTATAGCAGGTTAACTTAACCCTGCAGTTGTTTTCAGTATCCTATGTCCTTTTCCCCTAATGTAGTTTTCAGTATTTATCTTCTCTCCTACCCTTGCAATTTTACATTTCTACTCCCACGTGCATCTGAACTACTCCGCGGTCAATACTAATGCTGTCTAGTAGGATTATATATATGTATACTAATGCTATGTAGGATCATATGTACCAATGTACCATGAATACCACCAGTAGCAGCCAGCATCGATGCTGACTAAACCTGTCGCTGGCTGCAAACCCCAAGCCGAGACTGAACAACCGCACGAGTGGAACCTGAGCCTAGGACGGCGAACTGCTATGTCCGGGTGTCGTCGTTGCTGCGAGATGGCCACACACTACACAGACAGACAGTCTCCTTTGTTCAAGGGGGTCTCTAGCTTTTGTGCCCTGGAGTCCTGGACCATGCGTGCTCTTGATCCCTGAACCGTATTCTATCACCTTTGCCGCTAGTCATGCATAACCCAAGCCTGCCACACACGTCCCATGCTCCATGATCTGAATGCTCCATCCTGATGCCCCGAATGCTCTGGCCCCAATCCGAGATTGGACAACGTGACATGATATGATAAGAAAAGCACATATTGCGTATATGGTTCTTCGTAGATGCTTGTCAATTTTTTCCAGCAACTTGTGAGGAGATGACCACACCTGCTGTGTGCTGCTCATGCGTAGCAGCTGTTCTGTCTCCAAGTTTTTCTTTTTGACAAGTTTTACAATGATTGAAAAAAGTACAAACCATCTATTAATAAAGATCGGACAGTAAGAAAATAAGAAATACCGAATGCTCATGCGTTGTTAACTTGCTATTCCTGGCGTCCGCAGCTGTGAATTTGGACGCAAATCGGTCCCGTCTCTGCATCAGGTCAGGGGGGACATGAGGTCGCCGTGCCGAGGCAACGTTGTCGCCTATTTTTGTCAGGATTACCTCAACCACCCGACTGACCCCTGGCCTCACGAGTTTTTCTTTTTCTTTTTTTGCATTTTGTTTATAGTCTTCTTCTCGTGGCAACACAAGTTTGTCTTTGAGCATTAATCTTAGGGTGCCGGATGGGATGGGATGGGATTAGATGCCAGGATGCTTGTCATTTTGCCTAATCCGCTGTGAAATGACTTGCCAACGTTGCCTTGTACTTTTGGCTTGTACACTGTGCCGTCACAGCTGCACCTGCACATAGCTGAGCCTTCTACAATTTACTGCATTCACCTTTCGCTTGGAGTATGTATATCTATCCGTTGAGTGCTGACAGTTTATTCATAACAAAAAATGTGTACAGCACACGTGTGTTTTAGCAACAAAAAAACATATAGATTTTTTTTATCTATGGCGTCTGAGGCCCACATGTCATAACGAACACATAAACACCCTACACCTCACCAGTTTCTCTCTCACCCGACTCTCTCTCTCCCACTCTCTTTCTCGCCGGCGACCACCGGCGCCGGCAACGGCGACCAGCGAGCTCGCCCCGGCGCCCGCGCCCGCGCCGGCCATGGCAGTGGCGGCGGTAGCGGTGGTGGCGACGGATCCGGCTCCAGGTAGGCCTCTTCTCCTCCTCCTCTGTGATTCGTCCTTCCATATAAAAATTTTATTTCTTATGATATGTGATCTGTGGATCTATGATCTTATGATCTTGTGATTGTCTGTAGGTAGAAGAAGGCTGAAGGTTGGAGGTAGAAGAAGGGTGGAGGCTGTTGGATCTTAATCCTATGGTACAAAAAAAAATTCATGTGTTAAAACCACATAAAACACATGGTTGTGTAGTAGACAGACTCATTCATAAAATCTTGTTGGCTTGTAGCTATTGGATCGAAACCCGATAGTTTGGTTTCATTGGTCCCTGGTTGTTTTCACCGTGGCATAAAAGTCGTGATAAAATGTAATGCGATTCTCCAGAACATTTTATATTGGCAAAATTTTCTATAGGACACTGAAAGTGACCTCTCGTTGCTAGCGGACACGTAAAATGGAGCAGTTTGCTGGTGGACTCTCTGCTTTTTGTTAAATTTTCTGGTAAACATCGGACCTAATAAAATATTCATTTCTAGTTTTCGAGGAGAGAGAATAGCAGTGAAATGTCATTTATGCCCCTATCTCTTTCTTCTTCTCACTCCCTTTATTTTCTTTTCGGACACAGGTGGCCAATGCAATGATGCAAATGACAGGATTGCTTAACCTCTTCTCCTTTTCCGGGCGCTTGTTGTTGGCTGGCGCAACTGGGACGGGCGTCGCTGGTGGTGGCGGCGGCAGAGCGGTCACCGGTGGTGCTGGAGGCGAAACGGATAATTATATACTATTAATACAAGGAATATAATCATTTCACTAAATTTCATAAATTGACTCGTGATGCCAAGGACGGAGCCAGGGCGACAAGAGGGGGCAATTGCCACCCCCCCCCCCCACACACACACACACATACAACATAACATTTTTTTACTTAACATATAGTCTAATATTCTATATTTATATTAAGAAAGATACAGTTATCATATATATTGATTGATGTGGGCGACGCGACCCTGTCCCCTCAACTCAGGTGGCCAAGCAGGTGTTGTAGTTGCGGTGATGTATCAAGCAACATGACAATGTTGTGGTGGAGACAACAAATTTTCGTTTCGCCGAAATCTCCCGAGTTGGGGTGCAGAGAGGTGGCGTCGTCGAGCATCAGTCGATGCGATGGGATAGTATTGGTGTCAGTCGAGGCCGGCCGGACTGATATTGATGTCAGTGAGGCTAGCCACGATCATAGGCAGAAAGAAGTACAACTACTCAGATCCTCATATGCCTTCAATTCTGGGTAGGTAGTCAGATCCACAACCGAGGGCGGAGCCAGGGGCCATGCCCCTCTCCGCAACAACAACACAACAATATTTTTTTACTTAACATGTAATTTAATAGTCTATATTATTATATTTATATTAAAAAAGATATAGTAAATCTTGTCATATATATTGATTGATGTCTATAGATAATAAAATCACACAAAACACAGAATCAAATTAAAATATTTTGTCATCTAAACTTGTTTGCCTGCTTAGAGTTTATTAAATTTTACCTTTTACTATATGCATACTTAGAGTGTATTATATTTACATTTTACTAAACAAATACTTAATTAATATAGTAATAATTTTGCAGTAGTCATCAATATTTTATCATCATCAAGCTTATTGAGCGATGCTCTTATTAATTATTATATGTTGACTCTCTTTTTACTGTGAATCATAGTACAAACGTATCCGTTCACATACATGATACATGCGCTTGTACTCGTCCCTTTGAAAAAAAACGTTTATCCTAATCCACTATAGTCACCTTTGAAATACTAAGCCGCTAAATTTTAAGAATTAATGAGTTAACACATGTGCCTCGTTGTTGACAAATGGTCGCCTGTGACGGGAAGAATACTATTATAAATTGTTAAATACTGGAATAAATCCGAAAAAACATGAACAACTATAACAATTTTGGTTGGTTAGGTTCTACCACAACATATGTAGGATCTCTTTGACCAGCTGCTCTTATGTATAATTTTGGTTATGCTCCTGCGTGATGCACCACCTCAACTAAAATGAGGCGGTTCTTCCAGCCAGAATACCTACGGTACAATCTATCCTTATATCCTCCAAAGAGGTGAAGTTGAACGGACAACACCACAACCTGAATAGTGAATACAAATCATCGTGCACTTTGTATGTTTGTATTTGTCGAAAATCCGTCCGCGTACAGCGACCTGAACATCGAAACCCGATACGTTTTCTCACGGGACAAAACTTTTAATTCATCTTGCCATGACAGCGATAATAAGCGTAATAAACGGGGGAGAGGAAAAAATAAAAATGAAATAAAATCGCAGGGAAAGAAAATAGAAGGGCGGCACGGGGACAAGGGCAACATGGACATTGCGGCAGACGCCACAGGGACGGGCGCACGGGACGACGACCCGCGCGGCGCCTATATCTGCGCGTGCCCGCCCTCCTCAGCACTGCCACTGCCCCCGGCACCGCGCCCCGCCGCGTCGTCTCGTCTCGTCTCCCGCGCGCGCACGCAAGCACGCCGGCCAGGCCGAGGCCCTCATGGAGGTCGCCCCGCCCCAGCTGCAGCATCACCTCAGCGACAGCTTCTCCCGCGGGTGGCTGACGAAGCGCGGCGCGCGGACGCCTTCGCTCGAGCGCCTCGTCGCTGACGCCGACCTCGGTCATTCCTTCGGCAGCTCCAGGTCGTTCTCGTTTATCGACATGGACCCCGGGGAGCTCTTCTCCATGCGGTGGACGGGGACGGGGACGGCCACGGCGCCGCCGGAGAGCGACTTCGACTTCGGGCTTATTCCCGGCGTCGGGGGCTGTGGCAGTGACCCCCCGTCCCCGGTGCTGGTCAGCGCGAGCCGGGTCATCCGCGACGGCCGCCTCCTCCCCGGCGACCCCGACGGCCTCCAGGAACGCGCCGCCGACCCGCCCAGCGCGCCGCGGTCGCCGCTGTTCCGCTCGGCCCACAGCACGCCGGCGTCCCCGTCCCCGTCCCCGAGCTCGTGCTCAAGCGGGAGGACGTCCGGGCGGCGCGGCGCGTCGTCGTGGAAGATACTGCTGCAGTACCTCCGGTTCCTGGTGCCACTGTACCGGAAGGTGAGGGCCCTGCGGCGGTTCCCGGCGCCGAGGCGTCGGCCCCGCGTGGCGCCGGCCAGCCCGGCGCGCGCGTCCACGCCCAGCCCCGAGTGGTGCCACGGCAATGCCGACACCGCCGTCCGCGACGCCATCCTCTACTGCAAGAAGTCCAGCGTACGTCCTACGTCCTTGGCACCGACCACCGAACCAGACCAAACCCAGCACCCGCACTGCACGGACACTGACGACCGATCACTGTGCTTCGTCCTCGCCGACTGACACCACCATCTCTGCACAAAATTTTCAGGGACAAGACGCATACACGACCTTGACGTGAATTCTTTTCTGCCGAGACACGTCGCCCTGTGTCGTCTCGTCTCAGCTGCTCCGCTCATCATCGAGTTCCTTGTGTTGTGTGTGACCCTCCGGAACGGCCGACGTGATGCTTAATTTGGCGCCATCTCCATACAACACCTCGCATAAGATTACACTGTGTATTTAACTGATGTGTGATTCATGACTCGTGTACAGTTTTAATCAAAACATTAATCAATAGACTTCCTCTGTCGAGCTCGTCGTTCTCATTCGTCCATGGAGATGGATCTGGCCTTTTCCGCCTCGTACGGGTGGTGGGGCCATCTCGTCCATCGAATTGGGGAATTGGGGAATTGGGGAAAGGAATAGCAACAGATTACGGCAGCGACTGAAAGCGGGTCCTCGAACTATGCATTTGTTTGTTTTCGCACCCAGTTCCTTTGTGTAACCTAATCCGCGGAAGGAAGCATTATTATTATTATTCCAGCAGCTCCCTCCCGGCAGAAGAAATCCTCGGTTTTTATTCTGCTGCTGCTGATGGCCTAGCACCCGTTTTGGCACGTTGTGTTTGGCGCTTTCTGATCTGTATATCTATATAGGCTAGAAAATTAGTAATACGGACTGGTTGATATAATCTGTATGGACCGTTAATTGGATTGGATTCGTTTGGTCGGTCCAACAAAATTCGCGTTGAACAGAGCCACACGGGATCTGTCTGGACGAGGTTCAGAAGCAGGCACAGATTAATTTGGACAGTAAACTAGTGCTGAAATGTGTCTCCATCTCAGTGATATATATAATCAGAAGAAGGACGAGTCTTACTCGTTTACACAAGCTCAAATCTGACCAGGAATAGCAAATAATCTCGCGTCGTATCTGCATTTAGAAAATCGTTCACGGAGAGACTTGGTCTGAAACAAGGAAATTTTCAGATTTCAAATAAATATTCAGCTTACCCCGTGCACAGGCTATTAGAATTAACCAGCAGGCAGAGCCGCAGAGGCCGTGTGAGGGCGCCATTTGGATGGGCGAAGAAATGCTCGGAGCCGGTGTTGGGGTTCGCTCGTTTTCCCACCAACCAGAGAGAAACGGAAGAGATCAAATGCGATTGTTATATTACTTCATCTAATCTATGTATTACATCTTTGCTACGTGCTGTCCCTGTCGAATTACACGAGAATGTCTCCAAGACAGAGAGAGAGATAGACACAGGGAGATACGTTCAACGCTGGGCGTCGTCAGCAGCATGAGCTGTGCACGAAAGCAACTCCACGGATGCCATTGCCATCTCCATGTCACCTCTATTATCTTCGGTGGATCCATCTACGTACCCTGGCCATATTCGCTTCCGTATTTTTCCATCTAAAGCATTATTTTTCTCCATAACAAATCAAATTTGGAGCGTGTTTGGATTTCAGATGAACAACGGCCCCTATCGTCAGATGACAGGCAACATAATCAACGCACGGACGCACGCTTTGCAACCTCCATGATGACCAGAGAGAGAGGCCGTGTCGTACATGAAGAATCCGAGATCGACGACGACGACGACGACGATATGGCCATGCGTGCAAACGAACCAAAGGGACAGCAATCAGCCGGAGTCACGAACACCAGAAACCTGGCGCATGGTACTATTATGTACTAGCGAGATATAGGCAAACAAAGCGTGCATGGGCATGGACACTCGATTGCAATGCAATTGCAAGCATTGCAACAAAGATGTGGCCGTAGCTAGGGTCTCCTCGCTCCTCCTCGTTTCGAAATTCGAACTAACTGGTCCATGTCGTCCATGCATTTTTGGATTCATTCAATTCGGTCCATGGATCGACCGGACTGGGACCAGCCAAATAATATTCGTTGATTGATGAATTCGTTCGTGCAGGTCGACGCTAGAGATACGAGCTAATGATCTCCAGAATCTGGCCGCCGTCCGGCTACGGCTAGCTGAATGAGCGGCAGCGGCCAATCGGGCACGGCTGATGGGCGCGAGGAAATCCGGATGGTTTGGCACGTCCCGTCCGGGAGATCGATCATGGTCATGGATGGCGGGCAGGGCCTACGTGTGCGGGCGTTGGGGCGGCGCGGGGACCAGGCGCAGGCGGTGTCGTCGCTGGCGCGGACATGTACGGGGACGCGCGTGGACGGACGCGCCCGCCCGCCGGGGCCCGGGGCGCGGGGGCGGGGAGAGAGAGAGGCACCTGCGCGTCCCGTTGGGACGGCACGGCTAGCAGTTTGTTCGTCAGGTTTGGCACGTACTACTACTAGCGCTCCAGCACATGCAGACGTTTAATTTCCTTCCATTCCAAGTATGGCGTAAAGACAGGCGTAGAGTCTTCTTTTTTAACAGTTTGGTAAAAATGTCTGTACGTGTAACGAGAGAAAAAAAAACTATCAAAACTTTAATAGGGAACACTCATATCCATCTATATCGAATTAAAGTCCATTTTTATATTTGTTTTATTTGTAACCTGAATATATCATAATATAATTCTTTATATTATACACGTGTTGGCAATGTCAAATGTTGAGGTCCGTGACTTTGTTTGAGGACCAGCAAATATGTGTCTCTCCAATGCTCGATCTCTTCGAGAAAGGTAGTCTTGGCATGCAACGCGGCACACAATAATACAAGCATGAAGCACCCTAGGGCCTAGGCATCGACCTCGTTGCATCGAACCTGCTGGTTGCTCTGCAGAAAAGGCTGAAGTAGAATTTCGCGAAAAGGCGCTGGCGGGCCAGAATTGAATGCCGTTGGAGTTGGGCTGGGATAAAATGACGCCGTTTCGCACCTCTCGTCTCTCGCGCGCCCTGATCTCGAATTCTCATCATCCCAGCATGTGCCAGCCTGGCTGCACTGTACGACCGACCGAGGCTGCCGAAACAACATGGGCCGCAAGCCAGGTTAGCCCAACAATCACAGCGGGCTCCACGCCGTCACGCCACGCGCACACACACGTTAACCACCGAGCACAAGTCAAAGCGCAGGCAGGCATCGCGCTGGCTACCCGCGCCTTGACGGCTGCCGGCAGCCGGCAGCCAGCTCCCCCAGAAGAAACCGAGGCTGCGAGACGCAGACCGGGCAGGCAAGGCGACGTCTGGTCTGGGCCGTCTGGCCCGGGCATCGTCTAGAATCTGAGACGACGACCAAAGCCAAGCCTTGCAGCTCTCCAACACAGCCTATTTCCGAGCTGGGAGCAAAAGGCTGCACGTAAAGTAAACCACACCATGCATCCAACCCAAGAGCGCGTCCGTCTAAAGCCTAATGATGATTGGTGAACGAACCATAGAGGCCGCCCGGAGCATGTGATGGCCACTGCAATTTTAGAAAACGGCGTGCGCTGCTGCTCGCAAGTTGCCGCAGAAACCACGGCACGGCACCACGAAGAGCCGCCCCGGGGAAAGTACGGGGCTCGGGTCGCCCTCTCCCGGGTGATGGGTTCTCAAATGCAAGGGCGTTTCTCCATGAGGCCGAAATCCGCGTGGGAGTCTGGCCCAGGAAAAAGGTGGGGAAACCCCCGTGGATTGGGTCTTCCAAAGGAGGCCGAAGCGTTCCCCGGGAACGAAGCTGCCGGGAATGGATGAGAACAGACCCCATAGATGGAGTGGATCCTCACAGCTCAGCCTTGTCCTTGTGTGAACATAATCTGACACTAATTCTAGCTGCATAAAAGCAGTGTGACCACTGACCATACCCCTACCACAGCCACACACACAGACGCGCGAGCTCAAAAGATGTTTTTTTTTATTTTCTTCCGAATGCAGTGCCACTAATAATTGGTCAGAGTCTAGGAACGAACTAAGGAAGCCTAATCAAACACTCCAACCAAACTCACGCTGTTCGCCTGATCGTTTCTGTGGCTTATAAGCCGGCTGATGTTGTTTTGTTGTGAGAAAAAATACTATATCATGGCTGATACGATAAGCGAACATGGTGACTATGTATGAGCAACTAACAGCACTTTGAAACGGAGACACCGCTATATAAGCAGGCCACTAGTCAGCGTGCTTCCACACGCCACAGGCACACACCAAGGCCGAGCTTCAGCTTCAGTAGAGCTGGGTTGCCATCTCTTCTCCTCCTCCACTGACTGAAGATGACCAACCATGCTGCTGCAGCTGCTGCTGGCGCGGCCACTTCTGCTGTTCCGTGGAGAAGCGGCGGCGCCAGCCGGTCAGGGGGAGCAGGAAGCGCAAGGCACATGCCGAGGCGTGGGCAGATCAAAGCCAGGATAGCGTCGGCTGCTCTGCATGCCGTCGCATCGGCGCTACTGAAAGCCATCCACAGCAGCCACATCCTGGTCAGGAAGGTCTACAGGCGGCTGCAGGGAAGCAATGCACAAGTTTCCGGCATGAGCTAGTGTCAGCGTCATAGTTGTACTGAATAGTGACTCGAGATGGAACAAATGTACATTTCTCGTTTTGTTTGTGCGAAGAAAACTCAGGCATATCATTTATGTGTGCAAACACATTAATATCGCTACAGTTCTCCTCATTTTGGGCGATCACAGCAGAAAGCGGCAGCAGCACCGTCCCTGCGGCTGCTGCCCAACTGCAGACTTCGCGAGAGCCAGAGAAGACAGAGGACCGTGGTAGAAGCAGGGGCTCAGAACTCCGGTCCAGCAAATCAGATCGACGAGATTACAGGCTGGAGAGCCACGTGCCCGACCTTCATCGTCTTAACAAAATAAGAAGTGTGCATATATAATATTAACAGTCATGAGCGTAAGTTCATAACCTGCTACAGAGAGCCTGAAGATACATAAGTTCATCACAGGCCAAGCATAATGGCTTACACTACCCATCAATTAAAGGAAAACTACCAAAACTATTATAGTGCCCGTGCTAACGCCACGGCTTCATTTTAAAAATACATATAAAAACATCCAAACGACTGTTTTTTTTTCTTCTGTAGTTCAACTTTCACACAATTGTATATGACCATGTATATAATCCGGAAAATACTTATGCATAACAAGGCATAATAATAAAGTTCTCAACACTGCACACTGCAGTGTGGCTCAACACTATATATAACTCATGCAGTGTTGTATTTCTCACTCGGTAAAATACAAACCGTAGCGTTAGCACGAGCACACTACTATATTTCTCAAACACCATACATAATTACATACTAAGGCTCGGCTTGTATCATGATTCTCTAGGCATTTTCGAGCACTCTAATCTTCCTTTAGAATTCCTCATTGTCACTTCCCTCTATGTCCAATGTCCTTGTTTTCATAGGCAGCACCTTCAACCTGAAACACAAATATGAATGTGATTTAGATAATTTTATATAAACAATTATAATGACATTATGAGCAAAAACTGAAATTTGCATGAAGACATTCTAAACAAAAGTAAAATTTCCATGGAGAATATTTGATGGTTAAGACTGCACTCCATACTTGCTTCAGGCAGAAACCATAGCAGACCTGCAACAGCAGCTGGTCGCGAACTGCCTTAAATTTTAGAAAAGATTGTCCTATAGCAGGATATCACAATCCCCTTAGTGCATCTAAGATTCTACCAGAAAAAATGCATATCCAGTCCAGTTTTTGTAAAACGACAATTTGTATACCTCCAAAAATTCAATTATTCTAAGCTAACCTGCAAACTCCAAACTCGTGAAAACTGGAACATGGTTAATTACCCAATAGCAATTATATATGGTTTGACATCCGATGACACATAAACACCAATACAACATGCCTCAACACTAAACTGGTCACCTTCCTACTCACTGTCAAGAACCTCATTAAACTGATCAACCGACTGCTCACCTAGCAGATATAAGTTAAACCATAACTTCTTTACACTGCAGAAATTGAATTCTCCGGAGCTTGACGTGGAAACCATGAGCATTTCACAGAGCCTATAATGCACAGATAGCAATCAAATCAATCTTGGTCGATTCCTTCCAAATATTTTAATTTTTTCACAGATCAACAACAACAAAGCTCTAAGATGATATACATGTACTTAAATAGTGTATCTGAATTCCATAGAGAAAGGGTAGCATAAATAGAGTTACTTATATTGTTTATGCATAGCCAAGCGATCTAAGAAAGTGAACAAGAGGAATTTCAGAACAAACCTATATACCACTGATCATTGCTCTTTCCTGATGAATGAAATGAGAAAAGAATCAGTGCTTTTACTAAGCTGACCTATGTCTGGACTATGGGGGATTAACAAGTACAAAGTACAAACATAGATTATAATAATGGGCAAAAGTGATACTTGCCACTTCTTTTGCCCTTCTTTGACTGTTGCTCCCTTCTCCCTTTCTAAGTTGCCTGTTGCTTCTGTTTGGTCAGGGACAATGCATTGCTAAGATAAGATGTCAATCTATGAAATTCCAGAGAAGACAAGAATGACTCTTTGTTTTTTGAGAACAGGGAAGCATGGAACTTAGTAATTTGTACAAAGAAAAGCATTATGGATACATGCATGATATGATAAAGTAACTGCATCTCTGACGGACTGCTTCACCTATGCACATGACGAACCTGACGTAGCCGAGCAGGGCTCTGCGTGCTCCACCTCTTCCAAGGAGACGAGGTGGTGGTGGTGGATGAATCGTTAGGCGCCTCAAGCACGGACACCGGGCTCGAGTTGTGCTGCGCGTCGCACTCCGCGACCGGCATCCTGACGCGGCCCGCCGACTCTGCTTCATTCTCGGCGAACCGCAGCCTACGGCCGCGCCCGTTCCTCCTCTGCTTAATCCCAGGCCACGGCCGACCTCACCCTTCCGTCGCGCCTTGTGGCCTCCACGGCGGCGAGCAGGAAGTCGAGCTCCCGGTTCGGGTCCGGGTCCTCGGGGCTGAAGCTGAGGAGCAGGAGTCGCTCTCGTGCCCTCAGGTACGTCGGTCTCTCCCGCAGCGACGTGATGGCGGCTTGCACGAGATCGGAGACCGTGTGCGTCTAGGAGAGAGACGCTGATGTGGCCGCGAGGGGGCTCGAGAAAGATGAAAGTCGAGTTGATTGCGGATGTTGTGCCTGCGTCGGGGGAGGGGCGCTGATTCAGCGGGGATGGGAAAGGTGTGGGGGATGCGAGGACTGACCAACCTACGGGAAGAGACGGCGATGACGATGAGCGCAAGGCCTGCGGCGGCCGTGACCCCGATGGCAACGGCGGTGTTCCAGCGGCCGCCACCGGCGAGGGGGCCGCCGAGGAGACCCGCGGCCACGCGCTCGACGCAGCCCCATGCCCACATCGGTTGTAGATGTCCGCCGGATCGCTACATTTTTTCGGTGAAAAAAAAAGAATCGCAGGTGTCGGAGATCGAACCCGTCCTTGAACAGCAGCGTGCAGCGGCAGTTTGGCGGAGCGTCGGGGCAAGCGGCCGCCACGAAGAAGGAAATATTTTTCCGAAGGAAGCTTTTTTTCTGTTTATTTGGGGATTTGATGTTGGGTCGTTAGTAGCGGACACTGTGTAGGGGGTGTAGGTTAGGGCGCGGGGGTGAGAAGTCTGACGCGGGGGGTGAGAAGGCTGGCATCCCACGTCAAAGATCGGCGTTTGGATGAATTTTAATATTTTATTAGTTCTTGATTTTAATAAAGATAAATTTCTATATGTATTTTTCTGGAGACTTTCAACGGGAGATATAGTATAATTTTGATTGGTCCATTATATTAGATATAAATACTTAGCATTTCAATACGTGAGAACTCAGAAAAGGCAGCTTGATGGATTTGTAAATTAGCTTAGTACTACCAGCCTTTGGGTTATTGGGTACAGTAGTGATTAATTCATCTCCAATGGCAATGACGATCCGCTCGTAGCACAATCTGAAAAGTACCAAGCATAAAAGTTAGAATTGTTTACATACTGTTTAACATTTACAAAAGAACTAAAATATTAGACCGCCAACTTGAAGTAAAAAAAAAACAACTATTTTCTAGATGCATCTTGCCGATATAGAGAATTTTCCAAACATGACCAAAGAAACTAGATTAAATGTGATAATGCATAGTCAGATATTCAGTTTTCAAAGCAAAATTTCCCAAATCAAAACAACTAAATTTTCACTAAGATATAGTGTCTCTCTGCTGGCAATGGAAATATGTTGCTGGTACAATATGAAAGCTACCATGCATTAAAAGTCTAAAAGGAGACATACAATTTTTTTAGGATGAAATAGTATGGAGTGTTCAAAACTATTTCTAAAAGGATAGTAAAATAACGCACAAACAAAAAGTCCATTAAAAAATGGGCTAATGGCTTATCAATGCAATTCAAAAGGTTCACAAGATTGGGTTTTACAAGGTGAGAAAATATAGCCAATATAAATATGTTCCCTATGAACAGGTTAATACTAACAAGTAATTCATGTGACATTGCATTGTCATGTATTCAGTTTTCTCAAGCACGTGTACCGTTTTTTTTTCATTAAATTAATTGAAGTATACAAATCAGCAATTCAGCATCAGAAGTTGACAACAATACATAGAGGCCATAGAGTGCAGGGTCATAAACAAGCACTGGGATATAACCATACCTGGAGTGTAGTAGCTCATGAAGGGTATGACGGGACGGTTCATGCAATGCTCGCTTACCTTCCTTGAGCGCTCTGACTCGAGATCGATGATGAAGGTGCCAACATCTGTGGCTAGAAAGATAACATTGACACCCTCAGCAAAACCAATGACTTTCGCTTGGTTAATAGGCATGGTGACGGGTAACACTGACTGTAGGTCGATCACCCTGTATGGCACCCATTGCGGAGCTGCATCTCCATTCACCATACTCGAGCACAAGAAAAGTCTAGAGTCCCTTATGCTGGCGAGCCCAAGCAAACTATCCTCGGTTGGCATGAGGAGGAGATTGCCCATGAAGCTCGTGTGCAGCAGCGCAAATATAGACAAGTGATGCCTGCCCAAGTCATACTTCAGGATTGCAATACGAGCATTCAACTCGAGTACAACGTAAATTCCATCCCCGACAATGACAGGACGGCTCAGTTCCAGATGGCCACGGCAATAATCGAGGACACCCACGTCTAGGTGAACAGAAGCGCCCCACGCATCAGCTTGAGACGAGTAGACGGACGCATAGGCGTGCCAGTCCCCCTTGAAGCCCACACAGACAACCAGGAAGGGACCTCCGCCGTGGCAGCTGGAATGGTCGCAGCCGGCGGCCGCGCATAGCACCGCGGCGGACCAGCACCGGATGTTGGGCTCGGGCACCTCCTCCCGGGCACCGGTGATCGGGTACCAGACGAGGAATTCGTCGGTGTCGTCCGTCTGTTCGAAGAGGACGCGCCCGTGGCGGCAGTCGAGGTGGCGGCAGTCGAATGCCGCCGAGGAGGAGAAGGGGGAGGCGGTTGCAGTGGTGGGGACGAAGCGAGGGGCGTGTTCGGCGCAGCGGATATTGTTGAAGAAGCCTAGCAGCGGAGGAGCTCCGTGGAAGCGACGGTAGTGGCGGAGGAAGGCGGGGTCGGTGAGGATGCGGCGCCACGGCTTGCAGACGAGGGAGGCGCGGACGAGGTGCGCTGGCTCTTTCGGCGGGACGCGTAGGAGGATCTCCGCGATGGCGTCACCGACAAGCTCCGGCGGCTCGCGCGGCGGCGCCGCCATGGCTCGGGCGACGAGGGTTTGGGTGGCGACGGGATTGGGGTTGTTTTTTTTTTATCGGTGCCATTATAATTCTTGCAAAAACATCATTACTATTTACATATTCGGAGATGAGCTATTACAATTCTTCAGTTGTCTGAAAAATGTCATGTACACATGGAACGTGGTTAGGTCTACTTGCATATCACTGTATTTTCATATTGCCCAGAATATCCCTTAGTCCTCACCTCTGTCTTAGTGAATGACACGCAGGCCCCACACGTCATCTTCTTCCATGGCGAGCAGCCGCCGTCGTGGCCACACGAAAGCGCGCGGGCGAGCAGGCACCGCGGCCATGACGCGGAGAGCAGCTGGCGCCACTGCCATGCGGCCACGCGGGCGCGCGTTCCAGTAGCTGCTGCCGCTGCCACCGCTGCGGGTGCGCGGGCGAGCTGCTGAACCGCCGTCGTGGCCACGCGGGCGCACGGGCGAGCAGACGCCGTCCTCCGCCTTCTTGCCTCGGTCATGCTTCACCGCCCTGTGCAGGCCGTGCTCGCCGCACCAGCCATGGCCCTCGGAGATTGGCCGCGCACGCACGCCGGCGTGCTGCCTCGCGTTCACCTCGTTTGCTAACCACGGCCGCGCTTGCCACGTGCGCGCACCAGCGGGCGGACTCCCGCTCCTCGCCACTCGCCTCGACCACCATGCTACTGGCTTCTGGTTGCGCAGGACGTGCTCACGAACGCCGACCTACAGCTCGACCACGTCGGTGTCTACCACCTGCGTCCGTCTCGCACGCGCTGGCTATGCAGGCTGTGCTCGTCAACCCACAGCCCGTCGTGCTCTCGCTATTGCCACAGCGCACCACGCGCTCGCCACTGCCGCCGCTCGCTTGCGCCGCCGGCCTCGCGCTTGGTCGTGCCGTAGCCCGCCGCGTGCTTGCCGTTGCCGTAGCTCACGAGCGTCGCCAGACACGCTGCTCGCCACTGCCGTAGCTCGCGAGGGTCACCAGCCACACTACTCGCCGCGTCCCTGCAGGAGCCGCCGGCCGCGACTGCACATTCGGCTGAAGATGGGGAAGGAAGATGACCTATGGGGTCCACCCGTCAGTGACAGTGAGAGAGTGGAGGACAGAGGGGCATTCTAGGCAATTCGGAAATACAGTGGTCTGCAAATGGGCCCAACCGTGTCCAAAGCGTACGTAATGGCATTTTTCAGACAACCGAAGAATTGTAATGGCTCATCTCCGAATAGGTAAATAGTGGTGTTTTTCCAACGCGCAAGAATTGTAATGCCACCAATTGTACACATCGAACATGGTTAGGCCCACTTGCAGACCACTATTTTTCCATATTGTCGAAAATACCCCTCTGTATTCCCCTCTGTCTTAGTGAATGACGTGTAGGCCCCACATGTCATCTTCTTTCTCATCTTCCCATCTCATTCCATGGCGAGCAGCCGCCGCCGTGTCCACACGAAAGCGCGCGGGCGCGCTACTGAACCGCCATCGTGGCCACGCGGGCGCACGAGCGAGCAAACGACATCCTCCACCTTCTTGCCTCGATCACGCTTCACCGCCCCATGCAGGCCATGCTCTCCGCGCCAGCCATGGGCCTCGAAGCTTGGCCGCACATGCACGCCGGCGTGCCGCCTCGCGTTCACCTTGTCTGCTAACCATGGTCGCGCTTGCCGCGCGCGCACACCAGCGGGCGGACTCCCGTGCCTCGCCGCTTGCCTCGTCCGCCATGTTGCTGGCTTCTGGCTGCGCAGGCCATGCTTGAGAACGCCGACCTACAGCTCGACCACACCGGCGTCTGCCACCTATGTCCGTCTCGCATGCGCTGGCTGTGCAGGCTATGCTAGTTGACCTGTAGCCCGTCGCGCTCTCGCTATTGCCATAGCGCACCACGCGCTCGCCACTGCTGCAGCTCGCTGGCGCCACCAGCCTCGTGCTCGATCGTGCCATAGCCCGCCGCGTGCTCGCCGCTTGAAAGCTCTAGTTTGGATTTGGTGAGTTGATGAAACCCTGAGTGCTGACCTAGTTTATCAAAGTGGTCATGAGATAGATAGCACTATTACAAGTGATGGAGCAATAGTGAAGATCATAATGATGATGTGGTGACCATGATGATTAAGTGCTTCAACTTGAAAGAAAGAGAAAAACAAAAAGCTCAAGGCAAATGTGAAACTTAATAGGAGCTTTTTGGTTTGGTGATTGATACACTTAGCGAGTGTGATCATATTTAGGATAGATGGTCATACTATTAAGAGAGGAGCTCTTATCGAACAACTCGATCATCTAGTGCCACTAGGTGTTGAAATACTTGCATTGCATTTTAGGGCTAGTGCACATTCGGTGGGAAGTGATTAACCTTTGAAAAAAATATTTGTGAAAATACTAACACACTTGCACATGATGGTGAAATACTTGGAGTGTTAGCATATTTGCAAATGTGGTGAGAAAGGTGAAGAAAATGAGGCAAAACTTGGCTTGGGGTGCTGCCATGGTGGCACCTCCACCCCTTGTCCTTGGATCAAACCGAGTTCAATATCTTTGGCAAGTGTTCTAGATTGGACTAATTTTAGGAAAATGATCATCACCCCATTAATTGACATTGATAATCTTAACCTATCTAAAATTGAACATTTGTGGTCATTGATGATAAAGGAGGAGAAATTACACAAAAATAAGGTTAAATGACAAATGGGGAGAACTTTGACATAGGGGGAGAGATAAGAGAAAGTAATGGGATCAATTAAAATTTTGAGCACACAAGTAGGGGGAGCAAGCTCATAAACTTGATTGGTGCATTTGGATGTGCATTTCATATGTTTGCTTGCATGGCACAAGTTTTAAATTTAAAATTCCATGCTTATGTGGTGTATGCTAGTTGTTGGTTTGAATGATGAAATAAAAAAACTAGTATGCATAGGTTGAGTAACTTAAACTTGTGTTGACATTATGAAAACTAGACCCTTACTTCTAATGTTGATCTCACGGGATATTCTACTTTTTATGTGTATGTCTAGTTACTAATGGTGCTAAGAATGATATATTGGTACACTCCGATTGGTATCGCGCTTCAAAGATCCATCTCTTTGACCTTAGCATCATTTGATAGATATTACTCTTCCACAACTCAATTCCATGTATATGTGCAAGTTTTCAATCCAAACTCTTAGCACATATGTAGGGGGAGCTAATGCTACCATTTAGGGTTCATGAAACTTGTCCATATCCTTTTATACATGGTAAACATGCTTGTGCAAGCAACATGAATTCAATTGAATTTTAATTAATATCTTTGTGAAAGGGTTGTCTTCAATTACCAAAAAGGAGGAGATTGAAAGCTCTAGTTTGGTTTTGGTGAATTGATGAAAAACCCTAAGTGCTAACCTAGTTTATCAAAGTGATCATGAGATATGTAGCACTATTCCAAGTGATGGAGCAATGGTGAAGATCATGATGATGGTGTGGTGACCATGATGATCAAGTGCTTGACTTGGAAAAGAAGAAAGAGAAAAATAAAAAAACTCAAGGCAAAGGTGAAACTTAATAGGAGCTCTTTGGTTTGGTGATCGAGACACTTAGCAAGTGTGGTCACATTTAAGATAGATGGACATACTATTAAGAGAGGAGCTCTTATAAAAAAACTCAATCATTTAGTGCCACTAGATGTTGAAATATTTGCATTGCATTTTAGGCCTAGTGCACATTCGGTGAGAAGTGATTAACCTTTGAAAAAATATTTGTGAAAATGCTAACACACTTGCACGTGATGGTGAAACACTTGAAGTGTTAGCACATTTGCAAAGGTGGTGAGAAAGGTGAAGAAAAGGAAGCGAAACTCAGCTTGGGGTGCTGCCACGGGGGCACCACCATCCCTTGTCCGGTGCATCGCCACCCTATGGCGGTGACCGGCTGGGAGGCCGAGAGCAGCGAGTTGCCCTGGGGGCACCGCCATTGTGTGTCCAGTGGCACCGTCTGTGGCAGAACCGCCTAATCTAATGCCTTCCAGGAGTATTTGTCTTCTATTAGACACTAAGTACTGAAGAGAGGACACTAAACTACGCAGTTCCATCGAGCACACCCCAAGGGAGAACTCTAAAATTCATATTTTTCCATCAGGATCATAAATGAGAGAATAAAGCTTACAACATTCTTAAGTCATTTCTTACATCACTTTATTACAGTACTAGAATATTACCTCAATTTATTATAACAGCAGGATATAACAATGTTATCAGAGTTAAAGGGGAAGCAGGATTAATTTAATGACATGGTGGAGTATTAACATAGTGGATATTTATATACAAGAGAAGTTAACAAATTTTATATCTTTTCTTATAAAAACCGTTCGTGAGGGTTATAAATAAACACTATGATCGTAGCGCGAAAGGAATCATCTCTGAGCCCACCAGGAGGTTTCCACACACAAGAGTCAGCTCTAAGTATTCTCCGATCACCTACAACAGGGAGAATAAAATCCTGAGTACTCAATTATACTCAGCAAGACTTATCCGATAGGAGGAAAATAAAAAACTCCAATGATATGCAAGGCTTATTTGGCTCGTGGGTTATTGCATCTACAGGAAACATTACTAAACGTGCGTCCTTATATTCAACTTCATTAACAGTCATCATTAGTTCATTAACTAACCATTCTATATAAGCACCTATGCTACTTTCAAGCATGTGGTAAGTAATCAGAACTATTTTACCATCTTTCAAGTTCTAGTTCTTACTACAGTGCTAGACCATAGCCAAGTCGTACCGTATCACACGACAATTCGTGAACCAATCCATCCTAGCTAGGTACCCCAAAACACACGCCCCGCTTATACCCCAGGAACAAGCAAGATCAACCCACCACTCTCCTGTCAGGGGGTCTAGGTCCCCATCCAAACTTGGACTCCAAGCCCCCACTCCTGAGCCCCGAACTCAGTGTGGTACTTAGACCTCCACCACCCCCGCCTTCAATCAGTCGATTTGAAAAGAGCCAAAACCCACGACAAGAGAGCAA